GAGGGGGAGATGAAGGCTAGATCTAGCCAAAAAAGAAAGGGAAGAAGGAGGAAGATTGAGAAGAAAATGAAGGGGGAGAGGAAGAGAAAATAAAGATTGGAAGAAGAAGGAGAAGGAAAGAAGATGAGGAAGATAACGAGAAGAAAATGAATGGGGAGAGAGAGAGAGAGAGATGAGGTTACCTGGTCGGAGGTTCTCTGGCCGAGAGAAAGAAGAAATTAAAAACAAGAAAGGAGGAGATAGGATGGGGAGGGAGGGGTAGTTTAGGAAGATTGGGTATGAAAACGTAGACTGGGAACTTTATTTCCGGACGTATGATAAACTTTGTGGAGTACACATTCAATTCCTCAAATACTATTTATTCTACTTTGGCATTTTTGTCTATATTATTTATTTATTCCAGAAAAAATATTATACCGAAATATTTTTTAGAATCGACAAAAATTTTGTTCGAACCCGTGCGTCGCACGGGTTATAATGCTAGTATATATGTAAAAGAGAGTTAAATAGTTGTGGTGATGACACGTGTCATGCCACACGTGCTAGTATATATGTAAAAGAGAGTTAAATAGTTGTGGTAAGGGTAAAAGTGAGTTTTTAATAGTAATTAAAAAGGTTTTTTGGGACAAAAGAAAAAAGAAGGAAAAAAGTTTTGTGGGACAGAGGAAATATAATATTCGCTAATGAAAATTATACTATATATATTTGAAAATTAACATGTTAAACTCTTATTTAAATTAGAACATTTTGAAAAATTAAGGTATATAACATTTTTGTGTGATGTTATAAAAGACTACCAAAAACATCTAAAACTAATACTTCATTCCCACCCGATTTTTACTCTCACTCACTAAATCATACTATTGGTGGAATTATTAAGAGTATCAACCACTTCGTTGCAATCTATTTCCACAAAGATATGCCTCTAATCTTTGTCCTTGATAAAGGTTCAAGCCTCATTTACATAAATTACCTCCACTTCTCTAGGTCTGAAACGTCCTCTACCATTAGAGACTCTTGATAATTTCAAGCAATAAAATGAACCCCGACACTCTATCAGCCAACCTCGTTAAAGCATCCACATCAATCTTGACGTAGCCATTATACAACCATCATTGATGGGCAAAAAAATGATTCTCCCCATATTAGTTTAGATTATCGAATAAAATTGATTCATCTCCTCGCATTAATATTATTCTCCTTCCTCATATTGATTAAAAAATATTATTCTTCTTTCCGTATAGTAGTTTAATTAAAAAATGTATTTGTGATTCTATTATTATACTCCTTGCATTAGTTATGATTCAATGAATATGATTCTTTTATCCTAGCCTGCGTCACTACTTTAATTTTGAATAGCAAAACAAATATTATTCATCTCTCACGTATTATCATGAATTTCCTCTCTCGCATTGATTAAAAAAATTGAAATGATTCTTCTCTCTCCGCATAAGTCAAAAAAATAAAATTTTAGATTAGCAATCCTATAATTCAAAAAATAAAAATAAAAAATAAATTAAAGTCCAATGATTATATTCATTAGAATTAATTTAAAAAAATTAATAGCAAAAAACCATTAGTGATTCTATTATTTTGAGTAGCAATTTTCAAAAATATTTTATAGTTTTTTATGTTCTTTCTATTTTTAGAGTACAAAATTACTCCTTTTTTAATTTATTTGATTTAAATATTTGATCATTTTGAAAATAGGCTAGTCGTTTGTAGTAGTTTAATGCAGAGATCAATTTTTATAAAAAAACAACTTTATCTTATATCAATATTTAAAAAAATAAAATCAAAACTAAATTCATTTAAGTGTGTCATAAAAATATGATTTTTTAGAGATTATGAAAGTATCTATTTTAAAAGAAGGAAATCTCATTTATTCATTGATAGTTTAATTATAAATGTTGTGAAAAAATATAAACTTTTAAAAAATGTATTCTAATGAGAGTGATGATCTATTTTTCAAAATTAAATTTGCTTAAGAATATTGAAATCATAAATAATTTTAGGGTAAATATAGGATGTCTTGGTAACACATTTTTTATATCAATTGTTAACTATAATTTAATTAAAAATATCACATCATAATTCATAACAGATGACTAAGAATATTATATTTTTCAATTTAAATCATAAATTTTCTAAGGACTATAAAGCATAAATTTTATATAATAAAGTAAAATATTAAAATCAATATAATCGAACTATATACGCACAGTATATTTTCTATTGTAATATAATTATAGTTTAGTCATCTCTTATTCTATATATCTTTTGATGTAAATTTTAAAAAATATTGTGTATTTTAAATTTACATCAATATTTCAATGAATCAAATTAAAACTAACTTTGTTTTAACATATCATAAACAAAAACTTGTTTAAAATTGATTTAGAGGTTAAAAACCATCTTATCTATTGGTTGAAAGTTTTATTATAAAAGAAAAGTGTAAAAATTTTTGAATTGGGAAAGAATATTATCATTAAAACGAATGTTTCATTTGCATACTTAAATTTATTCAAAGATTTCATACCAAAATATTGATTTCACTCTTTTATATTTTTCAATTAAGTGGCATATTAGACTATGAGCTTTCAAAATGAATATTAAAGTTATTTATTGGTGAAGAAAGCAATTTATTTATTAGGTGTCAATATTTAAATAAATTTAATCAAAAAACTAATTTCAAGTAAAGGTATAATAAATAGTTATAAAATTTATTTATAGGTGAAGAGAGTATTTTATATTTTATTCTAAAAGTATTTTTTAAATAAAGAGAAAAAATATAGAATTTAGAAAGAATATTATTAGAAAAATGAATTTTTTCCCCATATTTATATTTAATCATATATTTCTTACCAAACTTTTAATTTTATATTTTCCATATGAAAAATTATGTGACATATTAGGTGTTAGAAATGGATATATAAAAATAATTTTCTTATCTTTTTATTCAGTTCATAAATTGGTTGCATAAAAAAGGCATATAAGTAATGACACATGTCAGCTCCTAGCATTGCCACATGTCATTTCTTTAGAACTTCGAGTCTCCTTTATATATATAAAGGATTAAATTGTTAAATATAGAAGAAAAGGACATGAATAAAACTAAAAGATGGCAATAAAAACAAAATAGGACCCCGACCACAAACATGAACCCGCCTTCCTAATCATCTTTCGTCCATTGCAAGGGCACAAAGTAAGCATTTAAATTCAATGTTTCAGGGTTTTCAAGGTGTTCTTCACCCTTTATCAAGAAGAAAATGTCCCTACTTCCAATCCTACTGATTCTAGGTCTGTGAACTTTCAACAAATTAAAGGATTTGGATGTGACTGGTGGAGGGGCTGAATCAAATGCAATTGTGCAAAAAACACATGAGTGAATCTAAAAAGACTGTTGAAGCCGTGGCTTCACCTAAAGTTGAGACTGAAACCATGGAAAGGAAGAAGAGGAACGTACATAAAGATGAAGAAATTGAGGAGAAGAAGCAAAAGACTGCTCTAGGGGAAATAGACAAGCAGACTTCAGTTGTGGAAAATGGTACGTAAACAGGTAGCTACGAATATTTTAATCGAGGCTCGCTGAAAAAGAGAACAAGAAAGAGGATTTTCAGTCCAAATACATACCCTCATTTGGGGAGACATTTGACGGATTTAAGGAAAAGGCTACTTGGCTTGATTGTTCCACGGCAGAGGAGCTCAAAGTTGCGGGAAGAAAATGATAAAGTTTGTGAGAGGGCAGACCAGATTGGTGAATGGTGCTAGCTAGAAAGAGGCAACTTTGTAGATGGCCAGCCTTTGAATTATTATTGTTGTTGGGCATGTTTTTTTTAGAAAGCATTGAAAATTTAGAGCTTGGCTCATCATGCACTTAGGTAATGGGATTATATTTTTCCTATGATCCCTTTCTGCGTTATCAGCTTATTTGGAAGGGTTTAAGGATATGTGGATGACTAAGGCCTTTTCTGTATAACTTATAATCATGGACAGGTGAGTGAAAAGGGTGATGTATGCATTCTCTCAGCTTGGGCAGGTTAGGATGGCCTAGAAAGGAAAAAGGTCGATCCCTAGGACATCTGCACCAGCAATGTCTGCACCTCTTCCTCGAGCGGTGTTCTAAATTGCACCCTGTTGCCCCCCCCCCCTCCCCTCGTGTGCTGTGGTGCTGACAATGTAACAAGTGATAAACAACAAAAATTTGTCTTGGCACCTAAGATGCAGCTCGTAGGTTGGTTGACAAGCATAAAACAACCTCCTGTTACAGTTAACAACTACAAGTCTAATTGACAAGCATCCCTTTTGTCTAGTACAGTTACTACAAGTCTAATTGCTTAGTTTTCTTGCTTATTGTGATGGCCATCCCTTTGTGAGCCACAAAATATACTCACAATTCACTTTCATGTCAAAAAACTTTTCAAACCTGCACATGAACACAATTGTTAGTCAAATATCACACAGAAAGTCCATACGCACAATGCTGATGAAAGAAAAATATGAGGAGATGGAAATCATGCCTGTCTGCAGCACGAGAACGCGTAGATTGGGGTCCGTACAAAGTGCGCGTATTGGCTACCATACTCTTGACATCGGATTTAAACATTTCAAGAGTGACATAATACTTCCCAGACTCCACTCGTTCACGTATGGTATTCAGATTGAAAACCCCAACATCAATATGTTTATTCATTCCCTGCTTCAACATTTTCGGTTCAATTGCTCAGTTAGTAAAAACCCAAGAAACAAAAAATGTGGAACATTTTTTTCCATACATGTGTGTGTGTGTGATATCTTAGATCAATGTGCGCGATGGAGATATTCAAAGCTACATTCAAACTGTACATGCAAAAAATGGGGAAATATATAGCTTCCTCTTGTGCTTAATCATACAATTCCAAAGACATTCAAGGTAGCAAGAATTTCAGCATGAAGTATGGATAATCACATAAAACTAAGGTTTAGGGAACCAACCTTCAAAAGTGAGGTCAGGAAATCAGTTAAATTTTTCTGATTTGTTGCAGCATCTTTTGAAATCTTCAAGCCTTCATATTCAGTATCTGTACTATGATCAGGAAGAAGAATTCCAACTTTGTCTGCTACCAAATTAATTAAAACATTAATATTGAGTTAGTTAAAGCTTCCTTCACAAAGACAGTGGTATATATATATATATATATATATATATATATATATATATATATATATATATATATATATATATATATTTGAAAGAAACTCCAGATATTGGAGTAAAATAAATGACATGAACCCTTGAAAGTTGAACATTCAGTGCTAATTGTGAAAACCAAATCAAAAGCATTAATATATATATATATATATATATATATATATATATATATATATATATATATATATTCACACACACACAGGCTACAGACTATCACCACAACTTCAAAGATTATGGGTTTACCCTAAAAGCCATCATTACCAGGCCTCTCAAGGCTCCTACGCCCCACCACACCCCCCAACTCCCAAGGGAGAAGCTGAACACAGGGATAAGAATCTAGGAAGCAATAGCAAAATTGAAGCATCACCTACTTAATTAAGCAGTCAGTACTATGAAGCAGATAGCTAATTGTTAGATCGCGAATTTGATGTGGGAAAATGAGTAATCTTAAATTAAAGCCATATAGAATTTATTTCTACTGCTACAAGGGGGTGCAAAATATTTTGTTCTCTAGCAGGTGATTGATAAAATAGGGGTTGCTGCATACAGACTAGATGTTTAACGGGAGTTTAGGATACAACCCACATTACATGTATCCCTCTTGAAACATTATCCAGAATCCCAGATCCTACTCTGATGCCTAGGCGTTCACCAACAAAGATTCCAGCCAGACTGCTAAAGAGCTAATAAAAGATACTCCATATTGAACAAAACAATGAAGAGTGGGGGGAGGATATTGCAGAAGTATTGGTCTAATCGAAGGGCATGGCTGATAATGAAACATCAGGGGCACCACACTGTTTACTTTTCAGTAGGAGTTCCCATGTTGGGAAGGGATCTATGAGGAAGCAAGAACTATTATGTGATCATAACATTGTATAAAGCCCTTAAGGAGCTGATATTGATAGTTCATCAGTTAAACATGGGAAGTCCTACCCATTGTCACACATAAGAGATAGTATTTGTACAAATCATCTTTTGAGCTATTAATATTTTTCCTTCTGCCTAACCTCCCCTTATCTCCTGAACTTTTCCTTCTGCCTAGCCTCCCCTTATCTCCCTACTCTCTTGTCTTCAGTTCAATATTTTTCCGTATATGTAAAGTATTTCTGTGTGTGTGTGTGTGGTCATTCAACCAAATTCATTAAGCTTGGGATGTACATGCAGTTATGGTAGAAATTTCAAACATTAGGGGCATAGTCAGCTTTGACAAAACACAAAATAACAACTAAATCAGACAATATGACCAAGAACTTACTCGAGCCACGGGCATCCTCAGCTTTGAACAACTCTTGAGGAACACTAACCTCTTTCTGGAACAAATGAAAGTTTGATTAAAATTAAATGAGTTGTACGTTTAGAATATTACCAATGTGTTACTTTCAAGGATATCCCAAAGAGCCATTACTTATGTGTTTCATGGGAGGATGATTACAATGAGGGAAATGTGAAAAGAAAAAGGTACTCATGCATTGTGGTATACTGATATCTGAAGTTGTCAAGGAAAAATAGACATGTTGATATCCAAAACTATAAATGAATATGAACAGGACCTAAAGTTTGACAATGACGTGTAAATTGCTAAAGAACATTGCAGTGGATTTAGTAAATAACAGCAGAATCTCTCTATCATTTTTGTTGATCACCTTTCAGTCCCAAATTAATACTCCGTATTACATTAGTATTGGTGGATTCATATAGATGAATTAGTGTTAACAGGAAGGTCTCATCAACGAACCTGCAACATATACTCTGAACTCAGTTCACATTCCATAAGAGTTGCTCCATTGTATTGTTGGATACGCCTAAAAGAGTATGATACAAATGTAACCAAAGATTAACTAGTAAGATATCAAAGGAAAACTTTGAAATTATCAAAGTACTTCAATTAATAAGAATCATTCGACTGTAGAATAAATACACCCCCCTAAATTCCAAAGTGAGTGCGTGTATGGCTGGATATTCGTGTGAATTTGAACAATCAGAATTACCTAAAACACAAATTCTTGGTCCATTGGATTTAGTTCTAGAATAATGAAGTGGTGCTCAAAATAGTTTTAAAAAAAGGGGGTTAAGTTTCACATCAATGATACCCTTGTCATCGATTCTTCTCCATGTGGATCTCTTTGGTAAACCCCTGCAGATATGTAGATTGACAAGCCACTTAAGATAACCTTTATTCAAAATAAAGATGAATACAAACATAACAATTTTGATAATGATTGTATACATTCGACCCAAGCAATTACTCATATTGAGTACATTAATAGGAAAGATAACAGCGACTCATATATGAGATAGTGGTATAACTAGGCTATAATTGGTGGAGGTTGACTATAGTACATGTATGATACTACATTACTAGACCAGGGGAACTTGAGTAACAAACCTGTTTGATAAAGTAATCAATAGCATTATCATCAGCATATGTCAACAAATGCGTGAGACCTTCACTGCATGCACGCTGCTTAGTCTTTGTCATGAGTCTTGTGCCGTAACCTCTAAATCTCTTTTCTTCTGCAATGGCACAAAAAGCTATTTCTCCAAACTTTTGGCTGATTTTTTCAAAAGGAAAAAAGTGCATCAGTGAAGAGAATAAATCTTCTAGTTATACCCTGATAAACAACCAATACAAAGTGAAAAGTTTTACCTCATATGTGGTCTGTAAGTAATCCCACCAATGACTTGATTTAGCCTAACAGCCATTGTTGTCTTGTGGTCGCTGCAGAATGTACAGAAAAACAGTGGTTAGGGTGTTTATAAGCCTTAAGCAATAGTGAAAAAAGCAAAATGCCCAATGAAATCAGTTGATGAATGGAGCTTAAAGATTATTTGTCCAAAACTTTTGATTATGATACCTATTCATCACAACACCATCAATGTATTCAGTTGGAAGCTTGGGTAGCTGCTTACTAAATATTGCTTTTAGCTCAGATAACCTTTTAAAAAACAAAATAATATTAATTTTCAATTTAAGAACACAGTTTCAAATTAAACTAGCAAATGCAATAGGACAAAAGAAATTATACCAATCCATCACGTCAGAAGCATTGTCACCACCGGTTGAAAAGCAAAAAAACTTCAGCATTCCTGCGTTCTCCTGTTCAAATTTTTCGATCCAGATGTTACATTACACCGAATCCACAAAACTTCATCTGATTGGATTCGGTTATATGAGAGCAAAAGACCGAGAGACAGCGAGAAGGTTTAACAATTTACCTCTCTTATCAAGCTATGTTCCTTGGTAGAAATCCACACCGAGTTTAGACCGGCTTCGATGGTAGCATCTGTGCGCCCAGGGGATCGTACTCCAGGTGATTCATCGCCTACATTCTCAATCTTAACTGCGGAATCATCTGTCAGGGGGGTCCTTAAGAGATCCGGTGCTGTTACCACTTGAGTCAACTGTCCATCGATTTCGACGCATTAATTTGCTAGGAATCCACGATGAAATTAAAGGAGATTAAGTTTTTATGACAGCATAAGGTTCAATACTCGCCTGTCTTCTCGAACTTTCTTCTCCGGAGGAAATAGCTGCGGTTGAGCCTCCGCCAGCTGCAATGGAAGCATCACCGCACCCAGCTGACCCTTCTCCATAGAAAATCTCAGTCTGAAGCGGAGAATCCTCGGTCTGGGAGCTCCCTGAGCGGTTCGATGGTATATTCAGCAAGTCGGTCGTCTCTGCCAACTATAATCGAGTCAGTTATCGATCGATTTCAGTAAAATTAGATCCGTGATAAAATCAATGCGAAATATATGTGTTTTTGAGCGCATAACGCTCAATCTCACCTGTTTTTTTGAACTATCTTCTCCAATGGATATCGTTGCTGCCACAGAATACCCCGCTGAACCTACTCCACCGCCTTCTTCATCGGAACTCACAGTCTGAGACGGAGAATCCTCCCTCTTGGAGCGCTTCTGCCCTAAGATGTCAGAGTCCATCCTCTCTGCAAGCTATAATCGAGTTAACTATGGATCGAGTGATTTGACGAGTGCGCGTTCGTGGTGAAATTGGAGAAGCTAAGCAAAGGAAACTGGGAAATGTGTTTCTGCTGCTCGACTGCGGGACACAGATATATGTAGCTTTTGGCGCCAATTCTATTTGTGATTCGGTGATAAACTTGCGACGCAAGAATGGATGATGCCCAACATTTTGATCATTAATTGTCTTTATTTATATTATTCTTGTGTTATAAAATTATGATATTTTAAAACCACTTATCAAAATTAATATTTTCTTTTTTCATAATTTGAAGTCAAAGTTAAAAAAACATTCATCGCCAAAATCAAAACAAGACTAATGATATACGATGTAGGGAATATTTGTTTGCTTTCTCCCCATCAGAAATCTGATACTAAGCTCAAATAGTTTAAAATTAAAATCAAAATCCATTAATTTGAAGTGTGGAATATTCTAAATTATAGCAATATTTGTAGTATCTCCTCCTTTTGTGTATGGTGATAGTTATGCTTCTCTAGTACTAAATCGTGTCATTTGAACCGATGTTCTCTATGGTAAACAAAAGTTTGGTAGCAATTGAAGGTATACGATGATAAGATATAGTATACCAGGGTTGACAATGATGTAATCAGCCAAGGAGAACGAAGAGCATAACAATTTCGAGGGGTGAAGATATATCTTTCTAAAGATTGGTAGTGATTAAGGATCGCTTGAGCCTTTAAACGACGTTATTTGGACCCTTAGAAAATCATCATTTTTCTTCGTTCGATGATCGCTTGGTGATAGGTCATTAATTTTAATATTTCTGTTAAATTTTTAAAATAATGATTACAAACAATAACATTTTGTTGCTTGGTTGGAAGGATTTTTCTGTCATTTTTCACGAATGGAACCAGTGGTTCTTTGTTATGTGTTAGATCTATGAGGATATAACCAGGGGTGAATTCAGTTTTGGAGGTTCGATTTTCTCCCAAAACCAAAGATAAAATGAAAGTTAGGTTGGCAGTTTGGTCCGGTTTGGTTTTGCATAAAAAATAAGTAAATCGTTGGTTATTCGATTCTGTTTTATACTATTTTTATTTTGGTTTTTTTTAGTTATTTTGGTTTATAAAAGTAGAAATCTATAAACATTAAAAAATTGTAAAAATACTAACTCGATGAAGCAATAACAATATGTAATTTTAGGTTTGGTTTTTTGGTTTAGTTTTTACACAAAAGCAAGAACCAAACGGAAGGCCATTGTTCCGTTCAGTTCAATTTTACATAAAAAATATGTGTTGAATGTCCAACAAACATTTAGAAGATTCCAAATACTTTCAAAGACATCATATGTAAAATCAATTACGAAGAATTATGTTTTTTTGGTATAATGCTTTCATTTTCATTATAACATCAATGTTTTTTATGTAAATATGTAAATTACTCGTATGAGTTTTTAATGTTAATATAATTCAATATTAGGATTAGCTATTAATGTTTATATTCTTAGATTTTTTTAAAGTCTATAATAATATGGCTAAAATTTTTAATTAATATTTAAGAAAATAATTTTAATTGACTAGTAATTTATTTACATTTATATTTCTATGATTTTTCTACATATCACATATATTAATGTAAATAAAGCAAAGTTTCTAAAAAAATTCAATTTATTCGATTCGATTCGATTTTTCAAAGTGAAAACTAAAACGAAACGAGACACTAACATTTCGGTTCAATTTTTTTATTCGAATTCGATTTTTTAATTCAATTTTTTTCTAGCTCCTTTGAATTTATTTCGATTTGCCATTTTCAGTAGGGGTGAACATGGTACAGTATGATACGGTATTTAGCTCGTACCGATACCGTACCAAATATTTCGATTCAGTATGGGATTTTACTCCGTACCGATCCCGATCTCGAAATATCGGTTCAGTATGGTTCGGGATGGTTCGGTATCGGTTTCGGTACAAATCGGGATGAATATACATACCTACTTTACACATTAAAATTTAACAACGCCCCTTTATTTTTGAAAATTAAAAGTGAATTTAAATAAAAAAATATGAAAAATTAAAAAAAATGAATATTTAAATGCAAGAAATGTGTATCAAAACTTAGTTTATATTTTACAAACTAAAAAAATTAATGACAACAAAGGAGTATTTCGAATCTTTGTGAATACTTTTATGTTCATACACAAAAACTAAAACATAAATAAAAGTATAATTTACACATAATAGAACTTGAACCGATTTTTTTAAAAATAATTATTATTTAGTGAAGGAATATAAAAAATTACTCCGGGGTATTATTTTTTATAATATTTTAGTATATGAGTTCGGTTTGGGATTTTCGGTATGGGATGTCACCTCGTACCGTTCCCAAATACCATACCGACCATTCGGTTCGGTACGATTCAATTCCTTCTCGGTACTTTTTCAGTTAGGTATTTTTCGATTTGGCATTCTCAGTTTTATCAGAAAATTTTAGTATCGATTCGGTCCTTGCTCACACCTAATTTTCAGTTTTGTATAACCTCCTTTTCCATAAATTCTTTCCCTTTCTATCGGTTCCATTTCTCCTGCAAATCTTCCAATTTGCAATCCAAATCGATGAAGACAATGGCGATCTCTTCTTCAACTCCGAAGCTCTTTCTCATCACCATCCTTCTACTCCACCTTTTCTCCGGCAATCATTCGCTATCACAGAACGAAGTCGTATCCGAGTTGACTCACCTCCGATCGCAGTCCCCTGCCGGCGTGATTCACCTCACCGATTCACTCCTCCGGCGGATAACTTCCGTTCCGTCTCCTCGGCCGTTCTCCATCCTCATCTTCTTCGATGCCCAGCAGCTCCACTCTAAACAGGAACTCTCGCTCCCCGCTTTGAAAAAAGAGTTCTCTCTACTCTCGTCTTCGTTCATCGCGAACAACCCCGATTCGAACGTCAACGGAAAGCTCTTCTTTTTCGTGATCGAATTCCAGGAATCGCAGCAGTCCTTTGCGCAATTCGGCGTCAATTCTTTGCCCCAAATTCGAATCGTTCCACCTTCTGCTACCGATCTGAAGACGGATTCGATTCAAATGGACGCGTCGGATTTTTCACGAATGGCGGAATCCATGGCTGAGTTCGTTGAATCCAAAACTCAGCTTGAGATTGGGCCGATCAATCGCCCTCCTGTCGTGTCTAAGAAGCAGATCATGCTTGCAGTGGCTGTTGTACTGATATCTAGTCCCTTCCTGATCAAGAAGGTTATTGCCGGCAATACAGCATTACACAATAAGTATTTGTGGATGGCCGGGGCCATATTCGTATACTTCTTCAGCGTTGGAGGGGCAATGCATAACATAATTAGGAAAATGCCCATGTTTATGGCGGACAGGAATGATCCAGGGAAGCTGGTTTTCTTTTACCAAGGGTCTGGAATGCAGCTGGGAGCCGAGGGATTTGCTGTTGGTTTCTTGTACACCATTGTGGGATTGTTGCTGGCCTCCACTACTCATATGCTAGTCCTGGTGAAGAACACGACTGCGCAGAGGCTGATAATGTCTATTGCACTTGTAGTTTCATTCTGGGCTGTCAAGAAGGTGATTTACTTGGATAACTGGAAGACTGGTTATGGTGTACATGCTTACTTGCCTTCCAGATGGGTGTGATCTATCGGTAGATCTTTAATTCGACCTTATCAGCAGGTATGAGTTCTGTATCGGCTTACTCTATGTTAGATGGTTTTGTTGGAACAATATTAATTGACTATGAATTCCAGTGTGTTCTCACTTGGATGAATTATTTGCTCACTGTGTTAAAGGATTATATGATGTTGAATTTGGATTATGTATGGCAGTTATTGCTGTTATTGGAATGACTTCTTGTTCTAGCATCTTCGTATTGGGTGGTTTTGGTTCTTCTTATGTTGCTTTGTTTTTACTTTGTGCAAGAAGCTGCTTAATTGATCAAGTTCCATCTCTATATTTAAAATGACTATTGTGCTTAACAGCTTTGAGCAATTTTCAGTATTTGCAGCTCTTAATTTAATAGGTTTTCATGAACAATGGTCTTTGATCACAGAATATCCCATTTGGTTTGACCTCTCATAGCAGTCATACTTTCAAAGGGAAGTGTGCATACCAACAACTTCTCATTATTAAAAACAGAGCTTTTAGTTTATTATTGAAGAACCGAGAAAAAATTTGGCTTTTTGGTTGATATTCACTTAAGCATTGTCTGGGAACAGCGTTTGTGATTAGCTTTAGCATTTTGAAACAAATTTTAATTGTGTAAATTAATTTTGAAAACAATAAATCTAAAAGCTTCCATTGGATAGCAATTTGAAAATGCTAAAGCTAAACTCTTGAATTAAAATCAAATAGAGCTTTAGTTATTGTATTGCGAGCCGTGCCTCTTGTAGATTCCTTGTATTTAGTCTTTTGAACTACAATTTTCAACATGAATGGCTTGCGCTTCAGGTTTTCACCAATTCTTTTAGCTCTGCCTGGTTGGTTTGTTATGAATGAAGTTAAAGGGATCATTAATGACAATATTAACCTCCAATTAAGTAATGGACTAAAGTAAAATTGCATATTATTAGTTTACTGCTTTCTATGAGACTGATGTTTTGGGTAGTATGTGCGATAAAGCACGAGAGGTTCAAGTATTATAAAGAAACCTCTTTGATTTTTTCTCACTATGTGGTTGAGTCTTCTGTAGAGATCAAAGAAGAGAAACAATGTGAGCCACTTAAAAAATTTCATAGCATAAAAATAAACAAATAGTAAAGGGGAAACCAAGAAGGAAAATATGTACTTCTTGTTGACCAATAATTGTACACAAACAAATATTTTTATCACGCTATTTCAAAACTACGGAGTGCATTCCAAGAAGAATATGGAGATTTGTAGGATTATGATTAAGCTCGTCGGGTTACCAATTTGTCTTTTTCTCGAGGACGTGTGTTCTATGGGGTAGTTAGGTTTTGCAGGGCATTTGTTTTGTTTCAGTCGGTTGAAAACAACCTCCCTATCTATGTACATTCACTCCAAACTCCACTTGCCAGACTGACTATGTGGGTTGTTGTTTTACTTGGAGAATATCTATGCCTTTCAGAAAGATAAAATGCTTTTCTTAGGCGTTTCAAGCCGCTCAGATTAAATCACTTTCATTACATTTCTAACCAAGTTCCATTCAAAGATTTCTTTAACTTAAGAAGATCTTGACAGTAGCAGTATCATTTGTGAATTCCTTGACAAGTTGACTGGAAGGGCTATCTCATATTTGTTTGAACCCCCCAAACAATGCCCAGTTTCTATGCTTAGTATTCATTACAAAAGTATATTAACGGCTGATACATTTATAAATTCAAAATAATCTTAGAGTTCCATAAGAGCATGTCCAATGCATACGTATTGGGAGAACCAGTTCCATAATGCTTTGCTTGCTTTGATGTTCTAAAACATATTGAATTGATCTATCGCCTTCAAAATGTAATTACTCTTTAATAATTATACATTAGTATTAATGTAACTATTATCTAATGTATTATAAATAAATATAAAGCTATTACTCCGTAATTGTGATGTGAAGATGGGATTATGCATTGGACATGAGAGTCCCATTTTGGCCCCTCAAGTTGGGAGTATGCATTGGGCATACAGCCATTTTATGTGGGCGGATCTAGGTACATGTTAATGGGGGCAATTGCTCCCAATGAATTTCAAAATTGTCCATAGTAGTACCCTAATTTTTTTAAAAAAATAGTTATGCCCCCATTGAAAAAATAAAATACACATAAAAAAAATAAATTTTAAGTAGAAAATTAAATATATACCATTAAAAATAAAATATTTAAAATTTAATTGAGTCAAAATTAAAAATATGTAAAGCAAATAAATTTTAGGAAATATTTTTAAAGATTTTTCATTAATTATTGAATGCGTTATTAAGTCAAAATAATGTTTTTTTTGTAATTTCACATGGCTATTTTGAAGAAAAAACAGAAGCGCTATCCCCGAACCCCGTAGTAGTCTCGCCCCTAGTCCTCATGATTTCTGGATCCCCCACTGCTTGTGGAACATGCTAGGGTGTCATTACATGGTTGCTTCCATTAGTGTTCTTGTGCTTTATACAAACACACAAATAATTATCATCTGTGTGTGTCTTAGTAAAACACGAGGGCACCCATGAGTACTCATGTGGTGGAACCCTAGCTTTAATCTATTAAAATTGCCACTCCCATATAAACAAAGGTGAGACACTATCCATTACACTTAAGTTTTTGGTTAGAAAGTGAATTTGAATTTTATATGGAAAATTGGTCAAATCTCATCCGATATTTTGTCAAGTTCGCTCGGCCCACTGAAATTACAACAATTTTCAGAAAACTTGAAAAGAAAAAAGACTTTGTTAAAAACTTGTGTTGTATGTGCAAAATGATAATGAAAAAAAGTAGAAATTGACATGATTAAACAAAGTAAAATGAAATCTACTTAAAACGGAAACTAATAAATTCTTAAAAACACATCATTACCAACATTCTCTTAAATGGTGTTCTGTATATTTATGTAAATTGGTAATGATAAAGAATGAGAAAAAGACTAAAGTAGAAGTAAAACATTGAAAATATATACCAAAATAGGACTTCCATGTTTTTTCTCGAAATAGGACTTTGCACTGTGGTAATGTGACTTTGCCCTGTTGTAATGTGACAGTGTACATGTGCAAATTACTATACTTGTTTGGTAATGTATATGACCATGTATGGTAATGTAAGTCCTATTTTGGGAATAAAAACATGGAAGTCCTATTTTGGTATATTTTCAATGATTTAGTCCTACTTTGGTCTTATATTACCAAACGAGGTCATGTACATTACCAAAAAGTATAGTATTGTGCACGTGTACAGTGTCACATTATCTTCACATTACCACCGTGGGAACTCCTATTTTAGAAATAAAAATATAGAAGTCCTATTTTAGTATTTTTTTTCCTATGTTTTAGTTTTGTTTAGGTGATTTCTAATAAAGAATAGAAATTAACATGACAAACAAAGTAAGATATAAAATAAAAATGGCATAAAACAGAAATCAAACTCTTAAATATGCACCCGAGAGCCAAACATCTTCTAAACACAAGAAACAAACGGGAATCACTTCTGAATGCAATCAAGTGCTGCATTGCAAAACAAAATCAAACAAAATACGGAGTATATCCTTAAGTTCCTGCCACTTTATTTTAGACGTTCACATGAATAGTTAGAGAGTTCAAAACCAACACAAAGACAGAAAAAAAATACTGTTACAGTCACGCTAAGCGCATGGATAAAACCTCGTCCAAGACAAATACACAAAGAGAGTTCTGTACTCACTAGAAAACTCAAAACACATTTATTTCATTGCCTCCACACAGATAATGTCAATCACACGGAATTTGTTTATCTTTATTTCATTTTTTTTATAATTGTGTAAAATCAATTTGAAATTAGAATAATTTGAGGAAGGGAGTGATTGATTTTAATTTATAGGAATATCAGATTTATTACTTAATAATTAGATCAAAAGAAATAGAATATAAATGATATAAATGTATATCGATCAAAACACTAATTAACCACAGAAACATTTATCTCACATCTCCGAAAGATATCTTCCCCCGACACTCTGTCACACAAAACCTTTCTTCTTTTTTTTCGTCCTTTCCAAAACAAATTTCTCATTTCTATTGAAAAAATCACTTTCACCCCTACTAATTTTTAACCTACATATCACATCACATTTTTTAGTATTAATTTGTTCATCACATTCAAGGGCATTTTTGGAAAGTCAACATCAAAATACACTCTCTTTAAATTCTTTAAAAATTAAAACCAAAAAGGTTTTGTTGGACGGAAGGAGTAGAACATGACCCATGATTATGCGAGATCACTTCTTGTTTGTTGACAACGTTACCCTTGGGTTTGAGTTCAGCCGACACATCTAACTTGGACTGTATTTTTTTACGATACATGTAGACTTAGGTCTATTAGAGTTAAAACCCTGTTTAGGGTCTGAGTTTGAGTCTTTGGTTTAATTGATTTCTTGACATAGTCTTGGAGCATTGTCCATTGACTAATTGGGAGGTGATGAGTTCCAACCTTATCGCGACCCACTTTTAAAAAATTAATATTCACTGAATCTTTCATGGCCTACAACTACTAGCTTGTACTACAAATAATTTAGAGTATCTTTCGAGTTTGATTTTTTAAAGTCAAATTAGACAAATCTTAATATCTATTACATTACTCTGTATTTTATATTGCATATTTATATAATGAAATGCATTTATGATAAATATGACCAAAATAAGTTTTATGAAATTATTTCTAACTAATATCTAATACGGAGTATAATTTTAATTTATATTTAATTGATTAAAAAATATTACTCCCTCCGTTTCATAAAATAATTCCTATTTTAATTTTTATGAGAAATAAAGAGTGTATATTTGTAATTGACTTTTTGATTTTGTCCTTAATGTGATTAGTAAAAGTAAGATGTGATGAATAGATTATTAGTGAAAAAAGTATGGTGTGATAAGTAATGTAAGAAAAGGTATGGATAAAATGATTTTTTAATAGAAAGTGGAAGTGTTTAGAGAAAAAGAAATGAAAGAGAAAGTGTTTTATGAAACGAAGTAATTATTAATTAATTAAATATGAAAAAGTGAAAGTGAATAAATACTATTGAACAACATGTTGATACCATTTTCTTAGTTGGAATCATATTATGATAGATAATTAGTATGGACTATGAGCATGAAAATCTATTTCATATTGGTTGAGAGCAAGAATAACACAAAGAGGAATTGCATATGCCATGGAAAAATCACATCAACCACTCCACAATACAAAACCATCTTCTTCAAAACCTCTCTATATTATACTACCCTTTCTCTGCAAAGCAGCTGTTGTGTGCTCCCTCGCACTTGTGTCAGTCTGCGCCATCCCCAAACCTTACGACGACTCTTCTTCAACCTTCGCCTCCCGCGTGTGCAGCGGGGCCCACGATCCGCCGTCGTGCATGGCGGTCGTGTCCGAGTCACTAATGTTGTCCTCCGCGTCTCCCGCGAAAACCAACGGCCTAGATTCACTAAAGATGGTCTTACACTCGTCCTTAAAACTAACCAGAGACGCACTTGAGTTACTGACCACTGTGAACCGCCGGGTCAACAGCTCCCGGAAAGGCACGGTGGCAGTAGACGACTGTGTCCGGTTAATGGACATGTCCGTGGACAGGATAATGGACTCATTGGTGGCCCTAGGGAATCTCTCCGCCGCCGAAGCAATTTCCGACGCCCACACGTGGCTCAGTGCCGTGCTAACGAACCACGGCTTGTGTTTGGATGGGCTTCAAGGCCCAGCCCGGTCCATAACGGAGCCCATTATAAAAGACTTGATCTCCCGGGCGAGGTCTTCCTTGGCGGTGTTCGTCGCGGTGGCGCAACCTTGCAAGCGGGACTATCTCCGGCCACTCGGTGGCGAGATGCCGTCTTGGGTCAAGCCTGACCGCAGGCAGCTTTTGGAAGCCAGGCCTAACGCCGTTAAGGCCGACGTGGTGGTTGCCCTAGACGGAAGCGGTAAGTTTAAGACGATCAAAGAGGCGGTGGCGGCCGTGCCGGATAATAGCAATAAACGTTTTGTTATATACGTGAAGAGAGGAAAGTACAAAGAGAAGGTGGACATAGGGAGGTTTAAGAAAAACGTGATGCTCGTTGGCGACGGGATGGATGCGACAATCATTTCCGGAAACCTGGACGCCGCCGACGGGACACCCACGGTCAATTCTGCTACTGTAGGTAACACAGTAATAACTCAACCATGAACACACATGCCAGTTCGTTACTCTCTAAGCTTCTTTTTTTGGTCTCAAATTTTTAATTTAATTTAATTTAATTTTTCATAGTTTACACTACAACGTATAATGTTAAAAAACTTATTAAGTAATTTCATAAAAAATCTCCACATATAAATCATTTTACATATTTAGTCTCCCTACATATCAAATATTACTCATTTAGTCTTCAATTATTATATCCATTGCATAAATTTCATTATATGCTATATATCATTATGTCACATTGTCTGTCATTATGATGTCATCCATGAAGGTTTCTGGTTTCGAATTTGGATTTCACCAGTTAGACACGCAATTCAGAGAAGAGTAATGATATTGATTTTGGATTCAAAGTTCAAACTCAACGATAGGTTTAAGAAAGGTGTGTGAGGGGAAGGAGGAAACTTAATTAAGGAGAGAATGGAGTGCGAGGAGAGGGAGGAGCTTCAAACTCAGCTTCAAACTAAGTGACATTTAGTTGATAATGATTAATAGATAATGTGACATAATGACAGCATATAATGGCATCTCACTGAATTTTTTGATACTATATATTGATAATATGAACATAATACTCCCTCCGTCCCATAAAGTATTACCCATTTTGACTAAAGTTGAAATTAAGGAAGGGATAATTTTGTGTTGACTTTACAAAAATATCCTTGATGTGATGAGTAAAAGTAGGATGTGATGGGTAGATTATTAGGAAAAAGGTATGATGTGATAGGTAAGGTTTGAAAAAGTAAAGGGTAAAAGTGGTTTTTTAATAGAAATGGGTAAGGGATTGTGGGACACAATTTTTTTTAAACGTGTAAATCTTTTTGGGACGGAGGAAGTATTTGATAAATATGAACTAAATATGAAAAACATAAAGTTATTAAGGACTATTTAGAGGATAATGATTTGGCAAAATTTGACCTGACCCGTTATTAATTCGAAACCCGACCAGAAATTAGCAGATTTTGAGAATTGATTTTTCGACTTGAACTCAAAGATCCATTAAAATTTTGGGTCAGAACGGGTCGGGTTTGACCCGACGGGTTGTGCACTTAATTGCTTTTTATATATTCATTTAAAATGTGATATACCCATTAGGCTACTCAAAACTCAAAAGGCGTAAAACCTAATCTAAATCCAGTAACATTCCAGTCTCTCTCTCTCCCTTCTCTCACTCTTCCTCCGTTCGTCAATATTAGATGCCGACTCAATCAAAATGGTGAGAAGACCCAAGATCAATATCAAAATGCCGATTTTTAATCTTATTTCACTGTCTTCAGTTGCTCCTACGTGTAACTCAAGTTTTAATTCTTTTCTTTTGTTTTGGTATGTCGCAAGAATCTCAATTTTTTTATAACGTATATATATATATATATATTTTGATATGTTGAAAGAATCTTCAATTTTTTTCATCTATTGCAATTTTTTGGTATGCTGCAAAAAGGTGATTTTTTGGATATATTGCAATTATCTTTTGGTATGTTGCAAATAGAACTACAAACTTTTATGATTTTGTTCTTTATTTTGAATAATGCTCGGATCACATGATCTATAAATAGTAAACTTTTAATTTTTAAATATGCATCTTAACTCGTTGGGTCAATCCGAACCCGATAACTCTAGGTCATGAACAAGCACTCTTAGAGTTGAAACCGAAGTGACCAAAACCCAAAATAATCTGAGTCCGATTATAGCAAACCCGAACTCGATCTCACCGTTTTGCTAGGCCGATATATATATATATATTCTACGGAGTAGATAAAATTTAACTTATTATGGAATATGGAATGGGAATGTTCTAACAATTTGTAAGTTGAATTGGATCAGCTGTGTTCGGGGACGGGTTCATGGCCCAAGACATATGCTTCCAGAACACGGCCGGCCCACAAAAGAAGCAAGCGGTGGCGCTCCTCCTGGGAGCCGACCGGTCCGTCATCAACCGCTGCAAAATGCACGGGTACCAAGACACCGTCTGGACCCACTCCGGCCGCCAGTTCTACCGCGACTCCTACATCACCGGCACCGTGGACTTCATCTTCGGCAACGCCCCGGCGGTGTTCCAGAACTGCGAGATCGTGTCCCGGAAGCCACCGCACGGGCAGCCCATCGCGATCACGGCCCAGGGCCGGGAGGACGCGAACGAGAACACCGGGATAACGATCCAGAAGTGCAGGGTGGTTCCGAGCACGTACTTGGCCCCGTTGAAGAAGGAGTTCAAGGCGTATTTGGGCCGGCCCTGGAAGGACCATTCCAGAACGGTGTTCATTGAGTCCTTTATCGACAACCACATCGACCCGAGCGGGTGGTCCCCCTTTAGGGGTGCCCTTGGGTTGGACACTCTGTTCTACGGGGAGTATATGAACACCGGGCCGGGGGCCAGCACCGCCAAAAGAGTCAAGTGGAAGGGGTATCACGTCCTCACTAAGGCGGCGGAGGCCATGCCCTTCACGGTGGCGCACATGTTCCAAGGGGATTCGTGGTTGAAGGCCACCGGCGTCGCCTACATTCCCGGACTTTAATTGGATGTTCGTTGAACTATGAAATTAATTCCTCACATACAAAAGTGTACTTTTAAACCCAATATAATTTCTTTTGAACTCAAATAGAGTTCATGACAATATAGTTCATTCGTTATTACTTTGGAATAATTGTGAATACTGTGCACCTTCATGGCTTCATGTGTGCTAGTTCTATAGGGGCAATTCCAATTATGATTTCAAAATTTGCACAGATTATGTACACTCAAGGACGGATCCAAGAATTTAAGAAATTGAGGCAAAAAAGAGTAATGGATCCGGAGTCCGTCATTGTTTCCGTTTTTTAATTAATGTAAAATTGTAATAAAAAATTATCTCAATTAATTAAGCGTTCAAATAATTAAAGAAAAAATCTAAAAAATATTCTCTATAATTTTACTTTTTCTATTATTTTTTACTTTCAAATAATGTTCTAGCCATTTTAATATTTTACTTTTAAATTCTTTTATTTTTAGCTCTAAATAATTCTTATTTCAATTTGAAGATTTCTTTTCAATGGGGACAAAGTGTTTTTTGTTAAGGGAAATAGTAATTTTAGAATAAATTAACTGTATTAATTCTTTGGGTGCAAGTCCCTCCTTGAAAGTAAAGTGGATCCGGTCCTTGATCACAAATATCGTTATTGTCAGTCTGTGTGATCTATGCAAAATATGAGATCATGTTTTGGTTACTCTTTTGGGATTACTCTAAGTTTATTTATCATTACTTATAATGGAGTATCTTTTTTTTTAAGGATTTACATATATATAAAAAATTATTCCTAACATGTAAAATAAGTAATTATAATTTTTTTAAACGTGGGTATTATAAAGTTAGGGGGTCTCATCACTCTCATGGGATACACCCTTGACACACTCTCAAAACCGGCCCCTTACTTTGTGTACCTTCACTCGTGTGACATAGCACCTACATCCCTACACGATTTTGGCTCATCGTAGCACAATTGCTAAGCATTTAGGCAACCAGTAGATGAGATTAGATTAACAATGTGTATATAAGTCCTACAAACAGAGTACCTCGTGTCCCCTAAAAAATATGGTCGATGCCAACAATTTAGGGCGTAGGTCCAAAACACAGACAATGTACAAGCATGGTTTGGTCTTTTACTGACCTCTATTCCCCGGGCCATGCATGCGTGCAATTTATGTTGTAATTTTAATTTTTTTTTGAGGAAATATTGTAAATTAATTTAATTCATCTTTAGAACTTTAATTAAATAACTATAATTAATCACTAATTAAATAACTATAATTAAATAAGTATTGCATTTGATACGCAAAACCTAGCTATACTTTGATACTCGTAGACCGTTTTATCTAGTCAAGCTTTCCATGATCTAGCTCTCATTCAATTTGGACATTTTTGGGGTATATTTAGTCCTCGACATGTTTCCAGTTCTGAATCATACACTACAAAAGTCAGGATTGACTATTTAATCTGAACTTTTAGGGAGGGTAGAAAAACCGGTATTGCAATCTTTTCAGGCGGTACCAGTATCGTACCAAAACCAACACTTCCAATTATATTCCAAAACTGCTTTGAATTATTTTTTCAAGATTGGTAGGTGTTTATTTCATTTAGGTCTGTTATTTTACAAGCAAAAGCTACATTTAAATAACTATTCATCATTTCCCCCCCAAAATTAAACTAAAAAAATAAAGATTCCAAAACTGAAACCGCAAGCGGTCCCTCCCATCGGCGGTTTTAGAACCTGCGTGTGTCCACCGTGTGATAGGTACGGTGGTATATAGTATGTGGATAATCATCTTTGTCTAATTGTCTCGCTATTCTGAAAAAATATTATCAGATCGGTTCTTAAATGCTTCGTACTTTGTATAATATATGTACGTATATTATAATGGTTTCTAAAATTCTCGTAACATTTTTAACATCAATATTTGCCTAAAAAAATGATATAAGGACTTTGTAGTGCAATGACACTGTTATGACTCTTTCAAATGATAGTGTTATGACTCTTTCAAATGATAGATCATGTATTCGATTTTAGATTGAGTAATAACTCTATAGACTTTGATAGATTGAGATTGTACGAAGAGATATTGTTTTGTAATAAAATAGTAATGAAAAATGTTTGTATACCCGTATATATTCCCTCCGTCCCACAAAACCTTTATCATTTTCTTTTTCATCCATCCCAAAAAACCCTTCTCTTTTATATTAAAATATCACTTTTCCCTATCAATTCTTAACTTACATATCAAATCATACTTTTTCTCCATTAATCTATTCATCACATCTTACTTTATTCATCACATCAAAAAGCATTTTTTAAAAGTTAACACCAAAATACATTCTTCTTAAATCTTTTAAAAGTCAAAATGAAAACTGTTTTGCGTAAGGGAGGGGAGTATAATATGTGTGTATATATGGGCTAAGCTATTTAAGGATTTCCCATTGATTGAATCAAATCAAAATCAAAGAATAGCATAAAAGCTAGCCATGGCAACCTCACATCAACCACTCCTCTTCACAAAACCTTCTTCTTCTTCTTCTAAACCTCTCCACATTATCTTTCTCTGCTTATTAGCAGCTGTCGCCGGCTCAGTCCTGCTGGTTTCAGTATGGGCCGTCACCAGTAACAACTCTACTCCGTCAACCTTCACGGCGAGCCTATGCGGTGGGGCCCACGATCCACCGTCTTGCATGGCTGTCGTGTCCGAGGTATTATCGTCCACCGGTCCCACGGCAACCAACGGCTTAGACGTTTTACGCGTCATCTTACACTCGTCTACAAAGCGAATTAGGGACGCCGTCGAGTTGTTGACTAACGTGAACCGTCGGGTCAACGACGGGATACTAACGTCGGCCGTTGAAGTCTGCGTGGAGTTGATGGACGTGTCCGTGGACATGATCTTGGACTCAATGGTCGCCGTCGGGAACATCTCGTCGGCCGGAGCAGTTTCCGACGCCCATACATGGCTGAGCGGTGTCCTGACGAACCTCGACACGTGCTTCGATGGGCTTCAAGGCCCGGCCCGGTCCATAATGGCGCCCATTTTCAATGACTTGATCTCCAAGGCGAGGTCTTCCTTGGCCGTGTTCGTCGCGGTGGCGCCGCCGGAAGTGCATGACGATCTCCGGCCACTCGACGGAGGCGGTTTGCCAGCCTGGGTCAAGCCTTACGACCGGAGGCTTTTGGAAGCGCGGGTGGACGCTGTAACGGCTGACGCGGTGGTGGCACAGGACGGAAGCGGGAAATACCGGACGGTGAAAGAGGCGGTGGCGGCGGTGCCGGATAATAGCATCAGGCGGTTTGTTATATACGTGAAGAGGGGGACGTACAAAGAGAAGGTGGACGTAGGGAAGTTGAAGAAAAATGTGATGTTGGTCGGCGACGGGATGGAGGCCACCATTATCACCGGCAGCTTGAACGTCGCCGATGGAACACCCACCTTCAATTCTGCTTCTGTTGGTACGTAACACACCATTATTTACCCTTGGCAGCTAACTCTCTTTTACTTCCTCCATATTTCTTTCATTTTTTTTTTACGAAATTTAATTTTTTTAACCGTTAATACTCCGTATTAATATTTATATATAGATATACTTTATAAAAGTTTAATATTTCTAAAACAGGAATCAAAATAAATTTATTGGGATTAAATTTTGTTATCATAATAAAGGGTAATTTTCTTGGTATCAAAATTTATAAGTTTCGATGAAGAAAAATGAAAATGAGAAGACACTTCATTTTTTATCATTTCGTAGGAAGGGTAATTTACCTAAATAGGACTAAAATATAACGACTTTCTCAATAAAAGATTATATGTTTTTATTTTCTAATGTAAGACCATTGGTAATTATCTATTAGTCATTATTCAACTAAATATCCAGCATCACTTGAGCATTATCCTTCTCACTAGACATTATTAAGTCCTATTTAGAAAATAAAAAAGTTTAAGTGTTACATTGAAAAATGACTTATGTTTTAGTTCTATTAAGTGCAAATTTTACTTGTATGAATGAGGATTTTTCCCCAAATTGAACAAAGATGGAAGTCAACATATTGTTATTATTTTATAAATTTTTTTTTTCTAAACTTAAAGTCAAATTGTAAAAAACTCTATTGATTGGATATAGTACTAAAAATTAAATCAAGTCAAAATTAGAATCATTTAATGTACAAAATTAATTAATGTATGTTATGTAAATTGGATCAGCTGTGTTGGGGAGCGGGTTCATGGCCCAAGACATTTGGTTCCAAAACACAGCCGGCCCACAGAAGCAGCAGGCGGTGGCGCTCCTCCTCGGGTCGGACCAATCCGTCATCAACCGCTGCAAAATAGACGGATATCAAGACACGCTCTTCACCTACTCCCTCCGCCAATTCTATCGCGACTCCTACATCACCGGCACCGTCGACTTCATCTTCGGCAACGCGGCGGCGGTCTTCCAAAACTGCCAGATCGTTGCCCGGAAGCCGCCTCACGGCCAACCCAACGCGATCACGGCCCAAGGCCGGCTCGACCCGAACCAGAACACCGGAATATCAATCCAAAAGTGCAAAGTGATTCCGAGCCCAGATCTGGCTCCGGTCAAAGCGAGTTTCAAAACGTACTTGGGCCGGCCGTGGAAACAGTACTCGAGGACCGCCTTCTTGGAATCCTACATGGACAACCACATCGATCCAACCGGGTGGGCACCCTTCAGAGGTACCCTTTGGTTGGACACACTGTCCTACGGCGAGTATATGAACACCGGACCCGGCGCCGGCACCGCCAATAGAGTTAGGTGGAAGGGATATCACGTCCTCACCACCGCCGCTCAGGCGATGCCGTTCACGGTGGCGCAGTTGATCCAAGGGGACACCTGGTTGAAGACTACTGGAGTGGCCTACATTGCCGGCCTGTAGACAGAATTTTTATTATCCTAGTAAGTTCTAAATAAATGAATTAAAGTAAAGCCCCTATTGTTTCAATTTTAAAATACTCCGTAAAATTCACTGGGGTGATTTTATACCAGTAATGTGTTACAGCTAGCGTTACCTCTTATATAGTGTACAACATCTCATCATTCTTCATTTGAATAATTTAATTAATTACTCCCTCCGTCCGGTAATAAGCTTCTTACTTTGACTTTTCTTCATTTTTAGTGAGTGCTGATTTTAAGAGGAAAATGTCCAAAATACCCTTGTAGCCTCACTACCCTAGAACCCCTGGAGGCTGGAGCACCCACTACCGCCGAGTTCCCACCATTGCCCACCCACCGCCGCCCCACCCCCGACCGCCGACAGCCCCATAATCACCGCCTCCATCCCCGACCGCCGCCAACCCCATCATCACCATCAGTCACACAATCGTCCCAACCCACCACCATCACCATCTCTAGGAGAAAGAGAAAAAAAGAAGGGGGAGAAAGATGAGAAGAAGATTAAGCACAGATCTAACACAGATCTACCGTAGATCCTCTGCCAACTCAGCTCCCACCACCGATGTTTGGTTCATCATCGCCATTAGTCCATCCACCATCACCTCAGCCTCATAGATCTAGCAGAGATATAAAAGAAAAAGAAGAAGAACATGGGGGGAAGAAAAGAAGAAGACGTATGAAAAGAAGAGAGGGGGGAGAAAGAAGATTGAGGATGAAAAAAAGAAAAAGAAGCGAAGAAGAAGAATCGGAAGAAGAGGAGAAGAAGAATCAGAAGAGGAAGAGAAGAAGAATCGGCCGAGGAGGAGGAGAAAAAGAAGAGGGGAATTGGGGAAGCGAGAGAGAGGGGGCTTTGGCCGAGAAAAAGGGGAGAGAAAGCAAAAAAAGAAAATGAGATTTAACAATAGGGGTAATTTAGGAAGAATTGGGATGAAAAAGTAGAATGAGAAGATTATTTTCGGATGAAAAAAAACGTAGAATAGGAAGTTTATTCCCGGACGGAGGGAGTACATTACATTGAAGTTGATACCATGTACATTTCAAAAATTCAAAGTATTTGTCTAGTTTAATCTTTTGGTTCTAAACTATTACACTAATTACAAAATTTGTTCACAAACAGGCGCATAATCATATTTTTAACTCTGGTTCTTAAGTGATTTTGTTATACATTCTCTCTAACTTTTGTAGTTAATTAGTTAACCACACCACTCGCACTCGATCTGTAAAACCAAATTGAATTTTTACTTTCGATTTGGCCTTCGAATTTGGGTAAAAACCGAATCCATCCCTACCCAACATTGCCTCATTGGTACCCTACTAGGCAGAATATAATTTGCCAAGAAATGAACCAATAATAACCCATCCTTTCTTTAAGGAGGTTGTCATGGGTGTCCACTATTTATACGGAGTATTTTCCAACTTTTTTTCTCCACATTTTTCCCATTCATTTTAATTCCTAATCAACGACTTCTCTCTCTCTAAAGAATAACAACATGTTAATACAATTTCTCTGATCATTTCCTCTGTTTATTCACTTTCTTGATTCCTCTCCATCAACATTCCTTTTTTTATTTATTTACTTCTCAAATTTCTTCATATTATTCCCTGCATGAGAAGTTTTGATATATAGTCGTCCGTTGTTGAATTGTGATGGTTTTGCATGCATTTTTCAAGTCTTCATTAGAGGGAGGCTATATATCTGTTTGGGCATGATCAAAATTTTGATTTAATGATCGAGAACTGAACTAATAATATGATGGGAACCTTCAAAGCCGGATTCAAATACATCTGCTCTACTATTTTCGGTAATGATATTAATGCCATTCTCATATTCAATTATCTAGAAAAGAAATTGGATGCCCACACTTATAAGAAAGCAAAACAAAGATATGTGTGAAACATTTCGTTACAAATCTTGCAACCGAATTGCAATACAAATTGTATCACAAATTTGGCCAATTGTTAAATGATTTGAGACGATCAAAATAGAAAAAATGTGTTGTTTTTTTAATATGTCGTGTGTGTATATTTGCAGTTGTGGAGGAGCCTGAGATTGAGATTGGGTACCCAACAAATGTTAAGCATGTGGCACACATTGGGTGGGATGGTCATCAATCTGGCGCTTCACCTACTTGGGTATGCATAAACATTAGACGCGCTTAATTAAAATCTCCATTACTATACTTTTTTCATTCTCCGTCAAAGTATTTTTGTTTCATCATATCATATAAAGGGGTACCATATAAATGGGTATCATATAAATGGCAGATGAAGGAGTTCATGACAGGGCCAGATTTTGCTGTTACTTCAATTGGTAAATCAGGTGCGGCTCTTTCTCAATGTCGTAATTACCTCTTTGAGTACAATCAACAATACATTTGTGTATATATAGGATAAAAGAAAACTCTTTTTTTAGTACTTATTTTTCATATATTTGTTGATTGGGTTGTTCTAAAATACACCATATGTTTTTATTAGAACTCCACAAGTCTACCACAAGACAATCCGGAGTCGAGTTAGCTAGCGATAACCCAGTAAAGGCGATGAATCATCCCAAGAAGCAAAAACGAAAGAAGGGGAAATCGAAATGCCAAACACCCTCAAGTTCTTCCTGCTCGCCGAGGTCATCTTTGGACGTGAAGTCAAAGTCTAAGTTTATCCAGGATGAAATTTAGTATAAGTACGTACGTGGAATCATATTCTCTATACGGAGTATATATGTTTGATTTTGTTGATCATGTGGAGTAATTTGAGCATAATTGCAAGTATTTTGAGAGATCCCATTACACTTTTCAGATCCCATTGGACTATTGACTACTTGTATTGACAATATTTCTCATGCTATATTGCTATGCATGTCTCTACTAGTAGTTGTCAATCTAGCAATTGGTATCTTGACATAGATAGGTGTCAATAGTAATGTCAAATACAATCTTTCAATGTTGCACTTTTCAAGTTTATATATTGCACATACATTTCTTTTTTATGTCTATACTTTGCAGATAGTGGACAATGTCACAAACCACGTACTGTACTAGGGTCTTGGATTATACACCCTCCATTCCGAGCCCCTAACCCCGACCATTATTTGTCAATCGTTCCAAGTGTCTACCTAGCAATATAATAGCATTGCAAGTTCGGTCGTCCGACTACTTCTATTGCTAAGTTTATCCCATCCCCCATACGTTTTAAATTTTCCAATGAATTGCATTGTGAGTCATGTTCTATTTCTAAGCCTTGTTGTTTACCGCTTAAGTTTTAATTTCTATCCACAAGGTTGATGCTTCTTCTAATGTTAGTGGATATCCTAACTATATTTCGATAATGGATGATTTTATCAAATTCATATGGATTAATCCGTTGAGTAAAGTGCATTGTTTACCCCCGTACTCTTTAGAAATTGCATGTTTTACCCCTGAACTATAAAAATTGCACCGTTTACCCTCGAACTCCTTGAAAATTGCACGATTTACCCCTGCATACTAAAAAATGCACCAAATAGCCTTGAACAAACTAAACCGTTGCATCGTTGGTCCTAAACTATTAGATAGGGAGTGCGTTGCTTCCACGCACAACAATTGCGAATATGATTCATCTGACCCTTGTAATGTTTCCAAAGTACCTTTCCCCAAAATTGTCGTCTTTATTTAAATGTTCAGGAGTAAACAGTACAATTTTCGTAGAGTTTAGGGATATTTGGTTCAATTTTTATTGTTCAGGAGTAAAGCATGCAATTACTAAAGAATTTAGGGGTATTTGGTGCACTTTTTAATGTTCGGGGGTAAACCGTGCAATTTTCATAAAATTCGAGGGTAAACGCTGCACTTTTCTCTTAATCCGTTCAAACACAAGTTTGAAGCTTTTCTCAATTTTCAATAACTGATTAACACTTAATTAATTCCACTCCGACATTTGATTTTTCAAAACGATATAATGGTAAAGATCGATTTTATTACTCCATAATAATAATAATAATAATAATAATAATAATAATAATAATAATAATAATAATAATAATAATAATAATAATATACGGAGTACTATGTTTTAGAGGGTGTTTGAGAATGATTAACTTGTGAGTAAAATAATTTTCACAAAAGTTAAAAGTAGAAGCACTATATATTTGCTTCTCAGAAATGATGTTCTATGTACTAAATAATGGTGAAGAAAAACAATAGTTGGTGTGCCAAACATAATAAAATGATTAACACTTAAAACAGAAGCTAAACTCTGAAAAGCACCGCAGTGCCAAACACCCTCTGATAGACGAGAATCACGCGAATCAAATATCGCGGCTCCCATTCCATGACCTAGCCGCGGGACACTTTCTCGCCACGCGTGCAGCCAACGGCTCTAGAGTTCGGGTCAGCTCAGGCCCAACGCCCTTATCCGAATATCTCGGGGTCCCAAAATACTCCTGGGCACGCAGATTGGGCTGCCTAGCAGCCCATCACCCTCTTAATACCATTTTCAGCAAATTATACAGCTTTAATTTGTGTTCATCTTTTCAAACCGTCTTTTAAAATACTCTCTGATCTCCTTCTAAAATTATCTTACCAATTACCATTCACTCGATCAAACTTTATTGATTCTCTTTCTCTATTTTTATTGGTCATTTGATACTCTGTAAAATAATATAGTTATGTCAGGTCTAGTTTTGTAAAACATTTGATATATTTTTTAAAATTTTAAATTTTATTTTTATAGTTTAAACTAATAATCAAATAAATTATATTGAAAACAATTTTGGTCAACTTTGTAAATTGAAACTTAAAGTTAGTTACAAGGCAGAGAGATACGGAGTATATTTTAAACAAATCATAGAATCTTGTGAATTGAATCAACCAGTTTAAACCACTATTTTTTATTTAAAATGCTTTACTGCTTAAAGTAAAAGCTAAAATCTTTTTAATTGTTCTAACAGTCCAAAAATTTCTTTCCTATTTTTTTAGTTTGGCAACTATACTATTCATTTTATTTCACCACATGAAGAGCAACCCATGGAAAGTTTTTTTATGTTTTAACTTTTTTAATTTTCGTCTCAAATCAAATCGAGAAAGAAATTTTTAGATGGGAGTAATAAATTAAAAGACAAATTGTCTAGAGCATTCTCTTTCTTTACTTTTAAAGTGTTTTTCTTACACTCCCACAAGGCCAATAAAGGGAGAGAGTATAAATTAGAGTGATGAATTTATAGTAACTCATGTCAAAATCACTTTCAATAAGAGTAACTTCGATCATCACAATGTAACATATAATTAAATTCAAAACCCTCTCAACAAAATGAGGAGAGTTATTCATTGGCCTCATTGAACAAATTAATTTGAATGGGACTTCATCATAACAATTAACCATTATTTTGATATGTAAATGCTTCAACATCTTTTTGTACTCCAAATCCAACCCACAAATAAATAAATTCTTAAGAAAATAAAACAAATTAATTATGGCACCACAAGCTTGGCATCCGATCTTGGCTTTGGGAGAAGTGTGATTGATAATACCCCACTCGCCGTTGCCGCTATGGCCCCCACTACGAACGCCGGCAGATTCCCGCCTCCGAACATTGCGTCCCATGGCCCACTCAAGAATGATACAATCATCTGCACATTTTCACATAATTATAATGAGAACTAAAAATTAATGTTAGCAGAATCTTACTTAATTAGCTTAATTAGGTTAATACTACGTAAGAAGTACAAAGATTATATTTACCTGCGGGACAACAATGGCAAGATTGAGGACACCAAGAGAAAGGCCAGCTGCAAATGGTTACATTTTAATTACGTCAATTATGGATGTTAATTACTTGTTATAAGTAACATATGTTCATGGGAAATTATGTCCAATTAATGGTTTGTGGGAGAGTAAGTGAAATGATTAATTACCATTCCCGGCACCGGCATCACTGGAAAAGATGCATGCAAGAGCGAAGGGGATGCTGAAAGTCACGGCAAGAGGAATACCAAGAATGCAAAATATCAACAAGGCTCCGGCCTTGACGCCGGCGGTCGGGGGAACGACGCTTCCCGACACGTCGAGCCGCCTCGAGTGCGCCGCGAACTTGGTGACTACGACCGTCATGGACAATCCAAAAGCCAGGATGAAGTTGACCCCACCCCAGAGCTTCTTCACGTCTCCGAGGTGGCGCGCGAGTAGCTCCACTCCAATGGACATGAACCCCAGGACCACAGACTGGAGCATGAGTCCGAGTGCCCCAGCGCGCACGCCGCTGTCGTACAACCCGGCATCCCCAACCTCGCCACCGTACACCTCCTTGGCCATCCAGTCTGTGTCGTACAGGAGGAACGGGAACCATGCGATCCAGTTGAGGGCGGTGACGAGGAGGAGGATCAGCATGGGCTTGGGGAGATTCCTCAGCGCGTGGAAGAGCTCCCCGAAGAAGGGCACCTTTGGGGTTTCGTCCTCTTCGTATATGCTCTTCGAGAAGGGGGTTTCTTTGACGCACGTCACGGCCGCGGTGGTGATGGAGAGCAAGAGGAGCGCGGAGATCACGAAACAGCTCTTCAGGTTTGCGCAGTATTCGTCGCACGCATCTGTCCGACTGAAGGGGAAAAACACGTAGAGGCGGGGGTTGGACCCCGCCGCATAGCCCATGATGTTTCCCACTGCCATGAAGAACGAGAATAGCGTGTTTGCCATTCTCGTTTTTTCAGCACTCCCGTCAGACAGATCTGACAGCAGCGCCCTGCATGGACCCTGCATCATTTATAACTCTTTTATTAACACATGTATATGCATTTTAAGTGATTTTCCGGCCACTTTTAGTTGACCATTATAATTTTTATAACACATCAAATTTAAATCAAAGTCGGAAGAATATGAACATATGCTTGCATGCATGCATGAGTTTACCTGTAACATGTTATTGGCGACGTCGAGTATCCAGAATCCGACGATGAAGATCGAAATGGCCCGAGGTTTGGAGGTTTTGCCGAGGGGGTCGCCGGCAGAGTGGCCGATATCGGCGGCAAATCCGATGAGGAACACGGCGACGATGACGAGTAAGGCACCGGAGGCGATAAACGGCCGGCGACGGCCGAACCGGCTCGTGCAATTGTCACTGTAGTAGCCGGCGAGGGGCTGAACGATGAGGCCGGAGATGGGGCCGCAGAGCCAGATGAAGGAGGAGTACTTGTGCGGGATTCCGAGCAGCTGCACGTACGGGGTGAGCAGGGACAGCTGTAGGGCCCACCCGAACTGTACTCCGGCCGCCACCGCCGCCACCATCACGATCTTCCACACCGGCGTCTCCGCCTCCGGGTAGCCTTGCTGGACTTGGAAGGGGGAGGATTTGGCATTATTGTTTGAAGATGATGAAGAACTCCCGGTCTCCATTATATAAATAAGTTCTTTTTTTAAATAATAACTTTCTAGTTTTGCTTTTTAGGCTGCATGCATGCAATCATGCAACGTAACTTATAAACTGATACAAACAAATATTTTTAGAGTTGTTTTTATTTTGGTTTTTTTGTTTGAATAAGAATATTTTATTCTATATCAGTTGCCCTATAGGATATATGTCGAATGGGATGGAGCCTCTCCAAGGTGTTTGTTTATATACTTTTTTCTCTGAATGTAAGAGTTGCAACAGATGGAGGCATTATAGGTTTTGTGTGGATGAATATGTGTATTTGAACCACAAAGATAGGCTACAAAATTTCTACATGTGACAGTTGTTCCCAGCTGTTTTTGCAGTTGTTTTGAACATTTCTGTACGGTTTTTTCGGAGGGGGACATCTTATTTCCATCTGTACGTTATTTAGTTTCATTACATAACATTACCGGCCTCCTATTATAACTAGTACGAGTATTCTTTTGCGAGTTACCATGACATTGTGAACCAATGTCATAGAATGATCCGGGAGTGTTTCGATACTCCATTCATACAATTGACGGTCCTACCCCTGACCGCCCAACCCGCCCCGATCCGAACACATCCCCCAACCCTTCAATTACATCCCCAAAGTTGATTTTGACTTTGGAGTCAAATTTTGACTCCAAAGTCAAAATCAACTTGGGGGTGCAATTGAAGGGGTGGGGTGTGTTTGGGTCGGGGCGGGGTGGGGGGTTTAATGGGGGTTAAGGGAGGTAGGTTCCGTCAATTTTACGAATGGGGCATTAGAGCACTCCCAGGTCATCCCATAACATTGGTTCCCAATGTCATGGGAACCAAGGTGTCTTTCCTTATGTACCAAATTAAATATTCTTATTTATTTTTCATGTAATAGAAGGAAAGTGAAATTATTTTATTTGAAATTTATGGAGACTTCGTGTTTGAATATTAATTTAGCTCTTGAGCTTACAATCAGAAGCTTGAACTTTTGGTTATATTGATTTTTTCATATGATATCAAAGCTTTGGGCACTAATAGCTCACATATTCAAAATTCAGGGCCACCAAGATCTAAAAGAACTAAATTTTCACGTGCAATGCTCAAAGCCCCACATACAATAATCACAAGTTTGGATTTTTGTTGAATTGATACCTTGATAGAGAGGAAAGTGTTAGTTCCATTTTGTGTTGGTATTATTTTTTTGACAAATGAATCGATTTATTTAGAATTATTTGTAGCTATTTTATTTAGAGTTGGAGTTCTAACATGCGTAGAAGAAGAAAGAGGAAAGTGCATGAAGAAAGAATTCAAATTCTACTTCATTTACTGTTCTTAAAAAGGAAGCTATGATTGAAGGATTCGTATTTGAACTCCACTATGGCTATTCCTATCTATAAACTCATTCTTTATCTAAAAACATTTCCCTTTTCTTTTTTTATTCGTCTCAAAAAACTTTTCTCATTTTTATTAAAAAATTATTTTTAACCATATTAATTTTTAACTTGCCGCCTATCATATCACATTAATTTACTATTCCTTCCGTCCCACAAAACATTTCTTGTTTTGGTTTTTAAAGAATTTAAAAAGAGTATAATATTTGTAATACAAGTTTCATAATCATTATTAGCATCACTAAATGCATAGTGAATAACAACCCGAGCAAAATCTCACCCCAAGCAAAAAACCAATATTCATACTTTGTTGGTGTATCACTTTCTGTATAGTGGAGTCCAAAAAGAACTCGATGAGCTCGGATGTTTCCTCCCAAGGCATGTTATCTACGCTGCCATAGACTTGTAGCTACACAGGGTCTTCTCCTCTACGTCAGCACCTTCATTGACAAGTAGGATGCTACACCCCAACTAAAACTAAATAGTAACAATCAATACAAATAACAAACTTACTCAAAAACTACTTGTTCCTTTCTCAAAAACTCGTCCTCTTTCATTTTTTTTACTTCCAACAAAACACAAACACTTCCACTTTCTATTAAAAAGCCACTTTTACCCTTATTTTTTCATACCCTACCTATCACATCATATTTTTTCTCTAATTTATTCATCACATCTTACTTTTACCCATCACATCAAGGGCAAAATTGGAAGTCAACTACAATTTAACACTTCCTTATTTTTACACAAAGTCAAAATAGGAACACTTTTATAGAACGGAGGGAGTATTTGTTTTATCACAAAGAATAATGCCAGCAAAAAGTTCATGACAACTGGTACCGCTACAGGTATGGCAAGACTGTGCGAAAAACACAGCCATCACTCAGTGGCGGATCCAAGAAATTTTATGTCTGGGGGCACCATCTGTACGTACGTCAAGAACGGGATTCTAGACATCATTAGCCCAAATCTTTTTAAAGAAAATTTTAAAATATACAAAAGTTGTGAAGTAAATTTTTTATTAAAAAATATATTCAAAGAGTTTAAATTAAATACTCAAAAAATCTAATGATAAATTTCTCGGGGTAACAAAAGTGTAAATGGTTCAGAAGTAGGTGATGAAAAAAGTATCAATAATTCAATAAATTATTTTAGTAATTTTAGAAAAATAAAACATATATTATAGAATATACATCAATCTATATCTTAGTTCAATTATAATGTTTTGAAAATCTACATTTTCTCAATTGCATTTTACATGTAACAATTTTTTTCAACAATGTATCGCTTCTTTAAAACTTCGAAGCTTTTTGGACAAATATTAAATAACCAGCTACAATCAATTAAATGATTTCATTTTATATAAAGTAAAAGAGAAAATTATCAAAAATATTAAGTACAACTTTGGACAATAAAAAAATGTATTACATATAAATGAATACCCAATAAATCTCCCGTATAAAAACTCAATTTTCAAATAAAGAAATATTATATGGAATTACTCATGTAGTGGGCAGCCCAAAACCTTCACCTATAGTACTTATCTTTTTTGTTGAGATGGTATTTCAAAAATGGACTGAGGGCTCTTCATTTTCTGACTGGGGGGCACTCTATTTAGCCGAGCAAATTTTTTTTATCTTTTCTACACTAGCCATGCCAATTGATAGGGGGCAATTGCCCCCCATTTAATAGACCTAGATCCGCCAATGCCATCACTCCGATGGTAGCTGACTACCGTTTAACAGTAGGAACCTACCGTTACAGCTGCTGCATGCCTATCTAAGTAGAATTCCAAAATCTGATTTTGATCCTTTTTGTTTAAAAACTTTACAAATCGTTTTGAAATAAAAGGTAAAGTATTTTGAGAGTATCTAATATGATAAATACACTTATCCTTGACATTCAAACTAGCCAAGCTTCGTTTTGAGCTTTTTGGACATGCTCAAACAACTCCCCTCTTTAAGTACTCCCCCCCTAAAATAATAGTGCATACACGAAAGCCAAAACTTCTCCCCTTTTGGAAGCAACAAAAAGGGATGAGGGCAAGACACGTAACCATAGATAAGCAACATGCATAATTCGAGTTTAAAGATGTCCATCACACACAAGTTCAACAACCAATTCATAAGAGTCATACAAACCATGAGAATCATATATAAGTTGAAGAAAATGGAAAATTTACACTATTATCTAAGAAATACCTTCTCTCTTATGGTCTTCTTCATCCATTGATTTTCCTCAGGTTTGCATTGACATTTTTCCTTGTAATCTGGAAGTTACTGTTAAAACATTGTTTGAACTCTCGTTCTATTACGCCCTTGTGATAGTTTTCAAATGCTTCCAAGATGTCACGACCTGCGAGTACGCCATTCATCCACCATTGGACACACTCAGAGCAACTTCTTCCATCTATCATTGAAATACCTGCCGACCTTACCATGGTTTGTAAGGTCTTCTCCATGGCATCAACATTATTTATAGGTATAGGATTATTTTTTCTAAGCATCTCTGATGTTGATCTGATTGATTGTAGATCCTTTAGAAGTTCTTGCTTGTGTCTCTTTTCATCTGTTAGTGTCAAGTTGAGCTCTTTCATCAGTTTCGTCTTTCCCGCTGGGTCTAACCCTCTGCTCCATGGAGGTAGATTAGTCGATGTGTATTTTTCTGGGTGCACCCACTGTCCTTGTCTTATTCCTCCTTGCGTTCGCCACTCTTCTTCTGTCTTTACGTCTGTCCAATTTGGGTCTCCATACCCTTTATACGGATCTCGCTTCAGCAATTGATACGTCCTTGTTTGAGCTTGAGTGTACTCTTCGGTTCTAGACTGAGGAGTGAGCTCTTCCATTCCGGACTCTGGCTTGGGGATAGATGAAGAAGCATAATGTACTTCCTTGTCAATGTCCCCTCCTTTCATATAGCTTCTATCTTTCTTGATGTGGTATTTTTTCTCCTTAGTGTAATATCTTTCCTCATTTCTAGCTTCGGCAATCTGTCGGAGGATGCAATATAAAGTGCTATGACTGGCAGAGAGAATGTCTACCTGGGATGCAAGACCGGGCATGTCCTTTGTGTTCTCGAATGCTAAGCTTCCTATTTTCTTCACATTGACAAACTCCTCCCTCATCTTCTTCAATTCTCCGTTCACTTCTTCGAGATCAGGTGTAGTAGCAAGGCATTGACCAGTAAAAACTTGTCGTTCTGATGACACTTTTTCGACACTTCCTAGAATATCTCTTAGACCTGATTGCAGCAGTTCTTTGATCTCTTTTCTTTGTGCTTCCTCCCTCTCCATAATCGCCTTTTCCAACCTGTTGCATTGCTGTTCCATTTGTTCGGACAGTTCCATTTGCAGGGAATGTTTCATCTTGCTTGCAATTGAAACATTGTCCTCAGAAATATTCAGCTCCTCATCATTTGGTTGAGCTTCATCTTGAATCGTTAGCTCATCATCTGGTTGAGCTTGTTTTGTTTCAGGAACACCTACCCTCTCCCCCTCTGGAGAATGTTTATCGACGATTTTGTCATCTTCATCTTCAGATGTAATATTTGCGATTTCTTCCCTAACTTTGTTCTTTCCTTGTAGTTGTTTGAATTTTTGAGTGAAGGCATTCTCAATAAATTCAAGTTGATCAGCTTTTCCAATATCAGCCGTGTCCAGCCAATGTAAAGTAAACACTTCTTCTTCTTCTTCCATTTCATTCATCTTGGTACGGAGTGTTTGGAAGTCTGAGCATCTCCATGAATGCCAATTCAATACTCTAGCCTTTTCTTTTTCTAACATTTCTTCTGCAATTGCACCTCCAGAGGCGTGTTAGCTTCTTCAATATGTGAAGTTTCCCTTAGGACTTCTTCTATTCGTGCACTTTCCACTTCTCGTGTGTTGCTGCACTCTTTTCCCTTTTCCATTTTATTCGCAAGTTTGGCAACAAGATCTTGCTTCAACCTTTTGATCAAGGGTTGGTTGTCTGAGTCAGACCCTTCATCAGTGACTGGTGGTTCCTCAGAAGGCCTCTTCTGACTTTTCTTTGCCTTGGGAGCAGGAGCACACTTCTTGGAATTCTTCATGGCAGTTTTGAATAAATATGTGTGGAAGTGAATCTCAATCCCAGTAGGCATTTTTACTTTCTTCTCTTTTAAGAGGTGGGCTACCATGAAACCATAGCCTACATTGTATCGCAACTCTGTCTCTGGACTTCACAGATGCCTTGTCGACAAAATGACATAGGCAGTTTTGTAAATATGGTGTGCCCAATCACACTTGATATTGTTCATGATGGCACTTATGAGTTTAATCTTGTCAGGAGTAACATCGTCAACTCCAGCCACTCTGCTCTCAAGACATTTATATATGATGTCTATTGCCCTTTCAAAAACAGGGTTTTGAAGATCCTTCTTCTTACCTCTGAAATTAATTTCATCAGACTGCTTCTCATTTTTTATTTCGACCCAGAACGTTTCATGGTCGAAGGTGTGAGAAGTGAAGTCCTTCTCTGTGGCTTCTGGTAGGGCAAAGGCTACCCTGATATCGTTGGCTTTGATTGTAACTGGTTTCTCTCCGACCATTGAAGAGATACAGTCGGCCCTTACCTTTGCATGAAGATACTAATCTAGAACTTCCTCCTTTTGTACACTACTGTAAGGAAAAGCAAGGAATTTCATTAAACCGCTGTCCTGGAATGCATCTATGATCTTTCTTGCAACATCTGAGTGTTGGTGTTGTTTGAGAAAGCCTTCAGGATCCAGAATGCATCCGGTTTTAATTTTGTCGGTGACTTTGTTCGGTCCTTTGGGTGCCATTTCCGGTATTTTTTTCTTCTGACAAAGTAAAGATGAAAGGAAAAAAATCAGTTTCTAAGATTGGAATTAGTTTGTAAACAAGCACTATAGGGTATGTGCGATTGAGAAAGAACTATATAATGTTTTTGCTTTGCTGCTGGGTATATAACCCTAAGCTTTTCTGACTCAATTTTCTTCTATATTTATTGAGTTAGTTTCTCTCTAGTTCTTGTGTACTCTGATCTCATACAGTTAAGTGGGAATAGTTTATTGATGAAAAGGATGGAGAGGATGATGAATGGTAAGAAGAGAAGATTGGATGATGATACTGGTGGTGTAAGAAGAGGAATGACGTTCAGCATTCTGAGTCGCTGCGACAAATATGCTCCTATACTACGCTTGCCTGGTGAGGTCCTGAGGGAAGAAGTGTTGTCCCGCCTCCCAATTAGGGATCTTTGTCGAGCAAAGTGCGTGTGTAAGCAATGGCACAGCTACATAAGCTCCCCTGACTTCATCAAGGTGCACCGGAGCCTCAACCACGAGCCTTCACACGGCCTCGTCATTGCCACCGTTGGTTCTGACGAGTTCGTCTTCTATATTACTCGCCTCTGTCCGAACAACAACAACACCGCCAACAGCCTCGTGCTTTTGTCCCTCGCCTGAGGGTCCCCCGAGGCCGGGACTACTACCAATGGATGACTCAAGTCGTGAATGGCCTTGTGTGCCTCTACTCCGCCAGCCAATAGGTTGAGTCTTTTTAGTATATGCACAGGCGAAAATCCTTGACCTCCCACTACCCCCAACGCCTGCCCCTGATGCACTCTGTGTTACTCGTGTTGATGTTTGGTTGTCCGAAACTCGTGAAGTTGGGAAGCTCGACATCATATCCCTCTCCTGCGTGGTGCTGCGTGGTGCTGAGCAAGCTACCAACTGCACTGTGACTCGTTACTTTTTCGGTTTTGATGCCATGCATAAGGCATATAAGATACTTAGCTTTAGTTATATGTGCCGTGAAGGATGTCTCGGCCCTGGTGGTGGATGGTCTGTGCGGGTGCCCACCTTTCAAGGTGCCTCGGGTTCTCACAATCAGTGACGACCCACGCACTCTCCTCTTCCTGCCACTGGAGAAAAGTACCTCATCACATACCTGTGCATCCCCTTGAGATGCTGATAAGTCTGTTTTTGTGCACATTTGGTTATCTTTGATAGAGTTATTAACTTAGATTTTTAATGTTAATTAGAGCCTAATTGTGTATTATTCGTCGTATTCTTAATTATGGGCTAATTTGTGTTATTTGATTGATTTCAGAGTTTAAATCCAAATGCGAGGCTAAATTGCAAGCAATTTAATGTAATTGGGGCCGATCTCTGATTACGAATAGTTCCATTCTAATAATCTAATTTGAAGACTAATTGGGTGTTCTCCGGAGCTGCTGGATCGATAATCAGAGACAGACGGAGGGAGGAACGAGCTCTGTGACCCGACCCGGCGACCACAAGCGGCGAGAAGCAGCGACAACAAATTTCCGACGGTGACGCAGCAAAGGTGATGATGGCGACCTCCGGCGTGGCTCCAGCATCCTCCAGCGGCGTCACAGCTCCCTAAACTCCGACGACTCAGCATCGGCGTTCTTTAACAACGGCGACCTCTCAGTCCCGGTGTCGCCTCCGGCGAGCAGCGCAGCGATGACGACGAACCAGACCCAGCGCAAGGCACAACAGTTCAGATCCAATTTTTAGAGTGCAGCAATGACCATTTTACCCCTGGTCTCTTCTTTACTTAAATTTCAATTTGTGCCCTTATTTGTCATTTTACTCCCAATTTCTCCTACTCTATATATACTCTCCTAGCTCCAATTTGTTAAGGGAGCTCCCCCATTTTCTATTTCTCTCTTTTAGGCTAGGGTTTATTCATCATCATGCTATTTTATTTTGGGGAGTTCCAATTTTAGATTTAACACTTGAATGTTTATTTTCTTGTTCCTTAGTGTTAGCTTTTATTTACTTCTTGTTTCTTAGTGGTAGCTTTTATTTACTTCATCTCATTCATGCTTTGTTTATGCGTTTCTCTCTTATCTTTTATGCATCTCTTTAGATTAAGCATGCTAGGCTAAATTTTTTAGCCTAGGTTAGGGATGGATTGTCGATTTGTGCTTGTTGTTGATTGATTAGTGTGAAATATGAGATGTTGCTCTAGGTTGTTTGTGGAGATTGATCTTATTGTTGCTAAGATGTTGTTGTTGGCCACAATGAAATTCTTGTATTTTGGAGTGGATTCTAAATTACCGAGGAATCGGGAGTTAGAACCTTAGCTGTGTGTCTCTACTCTCAAGTCCTACCACAGAAGTGGAGGATACTTTAGGAGCTTGTTTGATGTGTTTGCAGTTCTTTTGAGGCGAGCGCCATGAAAGTGGGTTGTTCTCTAGGGAATTCTTTCCCGATTCTCACGGATGTGAAATCGAGGTGATTTGCTCGCTTCCTTGTTGATTTCTCTCTTTCCTCTAGTTCATTGGCAATTTGCATGATAGACATGAAATTCCTAGCATAGGCCTGCTTTTCATTTTACTTCTTGCATTTCATTTTGGTGTTGTTCATTGCGTTACTTTAGTTCATTCACTTGCATATCATCACTTCTCTTTCTTTTCGGCCTTGATGCACGTTTAACAATTTGATATTAGTGTTTAGTTGCACCTTGCACTCGATTCCTAACCAATAATGCTATCCCCGTGGACTCAACAACCCTTACTTCTACCACTTTACTCACTCATTCCATTTACGTTTTCCACATTTCCATTCCATCCACACTTTCACATCTTTTTGAGCGAGGTCTTTCGGTATCAAACGACGTATCGAAATTCTCTCGCCCCAGATGCAAACTGTTTGTGTGAATGGACTATTGTGGTGGACTAGAAATATAAACTCTCGTGTTTGTTTTGATCTCACGGCGACGCATGAGCATTTCCACCCAATTTCTAATGAATACCCGCCTGTCTCCGACTCAGTGTGGTTCTTCCGCACCGCCGGCATACCCTCACTCTATGGGAGAGACATTGCTCTCTCTGACTGTTCTTGCGCATCTTCACCCACTCTGCAGAGGATATATATTGTGAGTGGAATTAGTACGATATCAATTTGCCTTCCGAATTGCTACAAAGGGGTAAATCTTCAATCACTCTCGTCGGAAACCTTCCTGATGGGAAATTTTAATTGCCAACGACCAAGCAGACGACTCCCTCACTCCTGTGTATTCCTTCACTCCTGGAAGAAACAAGACATTTTCGAAATCATTTAAGGTCAGCAAGTTTCCTCAAGCAACTGCCTCTATGTCGCCCAAAGAGCTTGTTGTTGCTGTAACTTGTGTCCAGGATAATCTCACTCCACTCTCCGATCTTATTGGAAATTGTTCACACCTCTAAGTATTTATTAATTGGTTCCCTGCTGTTACTCTATTTGTTCATTCATTCATTTTCTTCCTCTTCCCCAGTTCTTTCTCACCCCTGTTTTTTCTCCAGATTTATTCCTCCTCCTCCTCCTTCTTCTTCTTCTCCCCTCCGTTCTTTCTCGTCCTTCTTTTTCCGTCTAGATCCGTTCCTCTTTCTTCTTCTTCTTCTTCTCCCCCCAATTCTTTCTCATCCCTCTTTTCTTTCTCCAAATCAATTCATCTTCTTTTTCCTCTTCTTATTCCCCTTTTTCTACTATTTGTTTGTCTTCTAAATCTGTAAGGTCTGGGAAGATCCAGGGGCTAAGATGGTGGTGGGGGCTGTGGCGATTGTGGGGGGTCGACGATGGTTAGCAAGAAATTACTAGAGATGTTTCAACAGCTGCAATACTGGTTCTCCAGACCCATTGACTTTTAGGAACCTTGGCTGAAGCACCACCTGCGCTCCCACTGCCACAGATATCTCTCACTGGCCTCCTTGAACCTTTCCTTGCTCGTCCAACCTGAGTCTGACCTATGGCTCTAGATTTCTCTCTTGCAAAGACAACCTTCTTCTGCCCACGAGACTCTGTGAACCGGACTTTGTTTCTCTTCTGAACTGGGACGGTCACTCCCTCGGACGGTAACTCGACCATGTACAGCGAACCACTCTTCCTTCCGCGGACCATGACAAGATTTCCCTTCACGACCTTCCACTGCCCGTTTCCGAACTTAACCTCGTGTCCTTGTTTGTCCAACTTCTTGACAGAAATCAAACTTTTCTTCAAGCCTGGAACCACTCTGACATCCTTCAAAGTCCAGAAACCGACTGGGGTCTTCAGCACTATGTCACCCATGCCCGTAACATCAAGAGCTCTATCGTCCGCTAGTCGTACCTTTCCAAAGTCCCCAATAACTAGATTCTGCAATGTTTCACCGCTGTGGGTAGCATGAAATGAAGCACCAAAATCCATGACCCAAGAATCCACATTGCTCTCCGCACAGCAGATAAACAAATCCTCGTCGCTTGCGGATCCTCTAGCAATGTTCGCTTGTTTATCCTCTTTCGGGCACTGATTCTTGAAATGCCTCACCTCCTTGCACTTCCAGCATGTTACGCCTGAGCTATCCCGAGTCTTCGATCGACTCCTTCGTCTGTTCTTGCTCCCACTACCTCTGTTATTTCCTCTGCCTCTGACGATATTTAGTGATTCTTCCAAAGACTCACCAAAACTCCTTCTTCTGACATCTTCGTCAATAACGAGGTCACGAATCTTCTCAAAAGTGAATCCGTCAGGTCCCGCTTAACTGGTAACTGCTGTAACAGTTTCGGATCAACTGTCAGGCAATAACGATAACAGTAGTAGAGCTTGAACTTCATCATCGAACTTAATGCCCATTGACGAAAGTCTGGCTAAGATCGAATTCAACTTGTTGATATGCTCGGTAACTGAAGTGCCATTTTTCATCCTTGTGTTTACCAATTCTCTAATCAGAAACACCTTGTTTGCTGCATATGACTTCTCGTACATGTTAGACCACCCAAAAAAAATCACCCACGTCCAAGACCAATTAATTACTCCTAGCCCACCACTATCTCCAAACTCCACTTCACACCACCCCAAAATCAACTCCACGCCAAACAAATCCAATTAAAAAAAAACTTGGGCCATCACCTTGCAAATCACAGGTGGCTCCTTCCTCCCTTTTCGCACAGTCACACCTCACCTCTGGCAGCGCACTAGAGGGCAGGGCTTTTGCATTTCATTGCAAGTTGCATTTGGTGCTGTCTTTTCCTGAACCTACCTTACAAAGGTATAAGCCACTTAAGTGGAAGAGTTGGGCGGAGCCAGTAAGGAGCAACTGACTGCAATTGCACCCACTGGAATTTTTGGCTAAACCTAAAACGACGTTGTTTTAGGGTTTGGACATAAAAAAATCGGATGCCAGATTGGCAAATACTCCTCTTCCGGCTCTTCGTTTCTCCACCCATCATATATCCTATCCTTAAATCTCAAATCTCAATTCTCCCTTTCAATTTGTATTTTTTTAGCATCTACCAATCCATAATCTGCGATTCATCTCTCAATCTCCATCGGAAATTAATATGCAATTCAATCTCCTAGGGCGATTAATCTTCAATTTGTAGTTTCTGACACCGGCGGGCAACGAAGTGACGGACCTATTCAGTCGGTGGTCCGGTAGTGCTGAGACGGCGGAGGGGCAGTTGGCAATTGGTTCGTCACTCTTCAAGTCCTCAATTTTACCAGGTTTTATCTTATTTTTAAAAATTAAAAAGATGGGTTACTGATTTTTTTTATTTTTCTTTTTATTTTATTCAAAAAGATGATTTATGTTTGATATATTCTGAGAAATTACCAAAAACAGAATGTGTGGATTGTTGAGGACATCACAAAGATGGTAACTTTTTTTCGGAGTGTAGATTGATTTTAGTAAAAAAAAAATGTTGAAACTCTTCACAGAGTGGTAAAAAAAATTATGCAATTTTGGTAATTTTAGCTGTCCTTTTCCTTGCCTCTTTTGTGTAGTGTAGCTCCTTCAGTAGCATATTCTTCTATGTAGAATCTGAATTATTCTTTTGGGTTTTCTTGTGTAGATAAATTAGTGGATAAAAATCATGTCTTTTGATTGTTTTTTAGGTTGTCTCTTGTTCTTGACTTGGGATTAGCTTCTCTGCTTAATCTAGATTTTGAGCTTCATTACCATTTGACAGTATAAGTAGATATTTTCTGTCAAAATGCTGGGTAAATTGTTTGTTCATTCATGCTAACAATCTAATAGTGTACATTAATTTCTTTGTCTTTAATTTTTTTCTCGCCCCCACTCTATGAATTTTTTTCTCGCAGGGGAACAGGAGGGTGGCACGGTTTTGGACTCTGCACGGCGAAGGCGACCAGGACGGTGGCGGCGGCTCCTCCATGCGGCGGCGGCTCCTTCTGCCGCTGCTGCTGCGTGCGGCGATCAGAAGGCAAATGGTGACGGCGATCTGTACTGGACGGCGGTATAGAAGCTCGGCGGAAACTGGGTTAATGGCAGCACCGTTTGATCTGGACGGAAACGGCTCAACCCGGCGGAGGCAGATCACCTCAACGCGGCAGCTAGCGGCGGCGGCTGGACGGACCAGAGCTTCACCTCTTCACGCGGCTAGTGGCGGCAGCGGCGAGTCTCCCGTGACTCACTCCCTGCTGCGGCTCTCCCGATACAAGCGCAGCAGCTCTCCGTGGATCGACGGGGATGGGGGTGCTCCGGTGGAAGCGGCCCAAACACAGGCTCCTGCTACTGCACAGGGTTCTTTAGTTGACACCCCTCTGATTAGTTTCTGCTGATCGGATTTCCGGTGTGTTGACGAGCCAAAGCTCCGATACCACTTCTGGATAGGTAACTTCTGAATAGGTAAGTGTTGAACCAGTAAGAGGTCTGAACCATTAAGTGCTGAACCAGTAAGTAAGAGGTCTGAACCATTAAGAGCTAGTATATTGCTTAACTATTCAGAGGCAAATGTCTGATCAATTCAGATAAGAGGTCTTAACCATTCAGACTCTGTATAATACTTAACCATTCAGGGGCAAATCTCTTAACCATTCAGACATTTGAACCATTAAGAGGCTGAAACAAACAGTCTCAACCATTAATTGCTGAACCATTCAGACATCTGAACCATTAAGAGGCTGAAACAAACAGCCCCTAAGACTTCACATACCATGCAATTCACATGGAGTGAGGTCAACCAATCTGCCCTAACACATGATGAATTAAAGGACCATTCTGGTAAAATAGCACATACGAGTAAACAAGCACCATATTGCATGTATTGTCTAAACTAAAAATAAGAGCAAGAAAAAAAGAGATTTTTTTGTTTCTAATAGGAAAGAATCACCAGCAGAGAGAATCCCCCAACATCTTCATGCCCACAGTCTTGGGGTCTGGGCCCCCATTGATAACCTTCACCCCAATCTCAATCCAATACTTGAAAAAGGCTGCCTGTATCATCTCATTAATTCCATGAGGATTATTTTTTTTAAACAATGAAGAGTCATTAATTGTACAGCAAAAGGTTATAAATTGAGGAAAAGATGGTAAAAGAGATTTAAAAAAAACTTACAATAGTAAGTACAGCCCGGTAAGGTCTAGGGTCTATATCTTCAACGTCCGATCCAGACCTCAATTCGAGCTCAGCCTCTATATCAACAAAAATCTCTACAACCTCTCTGGCTTTTCTGAGGTTTGCAGGGTTGAAAATCACCAGGAATCTCTTTTGTGCTATGGAGACACTAGAAGCAGAGATTTTCGGGCCGTTCACGGCGGCGGCAGAGGCGGTGCGCAGAGCCCGACTTTTGAGAAGCTTGAATTACTTCTTTTGAGAGATTATATACCTTACGCCACGGCTTGGGGGAGGCCGATCTCGGGCCTGCTGGGCCGCTTCCTTTCTGATTCTTCTAGCTCGATCGAAATCCAAAATCAATTCTTCCACTGTTTTCTTGGACCTATCCATTGCAAGACCTCCAAGA